ATTGCCCCTTGGTTACTCATTGGCCCTAACCCTTTCCTAGGTTATTTTCTTTCCCATGACATACTTGTACAATATCCTTGAGTTCTCCCTAATCTGGCCTGCCATCTTTTTCTCATTCCCACACTTTGCTGTCCTAATTGCTTTCCTGAATTCCCCCTTGCACTTCCCACACTCCTGTAGGGCCTCCGCTGCCTTGCTCCCTTTGCATCCATTATATGTCTCTTTACCTTTACATCAAGTCCTAAATATTCTTAGGCATCTAGGGTTCTCTGAGCTTGTAGCTCCTATATTTCACCATAAACGGAATATGTTGGGCCTGTACTCCTCTCAGTACCTTAAATGTTCTGCTGTAGATTTACCTTCATGTAGTTTTTCCAGCCTATTTTGGTTACAGGCTCCCTTATGAGAAGAAAATTTGCCTTAGCCCAATCCAAAACCCCTTTTTGCAGACCATCTATTTTCTTTTCCATAATAAACTTAAAATGTACGATGTTGTGGTCGCTATCATTAAAGTGCTCTCCTGCTGTCATTTCAAACACCTGCCTTCATTGCCCAGAATCAAGTCCAGTTCTGCACCGTCACTTGCAGGATCATCTACATGTTGGTATAAAAGGCTCTCCTGCATACATTTCAATTAATCTGTCCACTCTAAACCCTACGATTATCCCAATTAATATTGGGATATTGGAAATTCCCCTTATTGCCCTATTATTTTTACATGGCTTAGTAAACTAACTATATATCTGCTCCTCAATTGCTGCTGACTAATTGGGGGCCTGTAGTATACTCCTAACAGTTTGACTGCACTCCTTGTATTCCTAAAATCCACCCACAAAGCTTCATTTGACATACCTATCATCCATCTTTACTGCAGTGACTGATTCCCTAATTAATAACACAACACCACCTCTATTTTAGTATGCCTGAAGATCCTACACCCCTAAATGTTAAATTGCCAGTCTTGTTCCTCCCTCAACCACTCTCTGTAAAGTCAACAACATTGCAGTTCAATGTGGCAATCCACACCCTTAACTCATTTGCCTTATTTCTAACACTCCAGGCGTTAAAGAAGAAACCATCCAGCATTACCTTACTATCTTGAGACACCACATGGCTGAATTTATTCTGCCTTGGCTCCTTTTCTAGGTTATGCTGTGCTAACACATGGTGATCCTGCCTCTGCTGAACTTATATAAATTCTTCCCAACTGCACTCGCAAACCTCCTGCAGGGATGTTATCTCTGATTTGGTTCACATGCAGTCTATCCTGCTTGAGAGGTCCCAATTTCCCACAAATGGTCCCAATGATCCACTTCCCTCTTGCACCAACTTTGTTGGTATTCATCTGCTCTATTGTCCTATTTCTGTGCTCGCTCCCCATGGCATGGGAGTAATTCTGAGACTACAACCTTTGAGGTCTTGCTTCTTATCTACTGCCCAGATCTCTGAACTCTTGATGCAAGACCTCATCCCTAATTCCACGCATGTCATTGGTACCAATGTGCACTAAAACCGCTGCTGAATTGGTCCCCTCCTTCAGGATGGCCTGCAGCCACTTAGTGACACCCCTGACCTTGGCACCAGGAAGCAACGCACCATCCTGGAGTCACATCTGAGTCCACAGAAATGGCTGTCTGTTCTCCTAATGAATGAATCCGTTAACACTTTCGTTCCTGCTTTCTTCGTCCTCCCCTCCTGTACAGTAAGGCCTGTTACAATGCCAGTGGCTTGGCTCTGACTGCGCTCCCTTGGGATACTAGTCTTCTCTTCAGCTTCCAGAACAGAAAACGAATTTGAGAGAGGACCACAGGGGACTCCTGCACTTCCTGCCTGTTTCTTTTTGGCTGCCTGGCAGTCATCCATTTCCTCTTGCCTTCAGCCCCTTAAGCCACAGTGTCACCACCTCTCTCTATGCCATCCATATAAATTTCAGCCTCGCAGATGGGCCATAGTGTTCTCCATCTGCTGTTCAAGCTCCGAAACCCAGAGCTCAAGTTTGTGCAGTTCGGAGCACTTCTTGCACACATGGTCACCTAGGATGGCAGAAGGGACTCTAGTCTCTAACCTCTTCTTGTGGTCACTGTACGTATATAGCAAGTCCAGTTGAATTTCTGGTCAATGGTAACCCCTAGGATGTTGATCGTGGGGGATTCAGTGACAGGAATGACATTGAATATGAAAGGGCAGTGGTCAGATTGTCTTTTGCTGGAGATGGTCATTGCCTGGCATTTGTGAGGCGCAAATTTTATTCGTCACTTTTCAGCCCAAGCCTGAATATTGTCCGGGTCTTGTTGCATTTGAACATGGTTCAGTTTCTGAGAAGTCATGAATGGTGTTTAACGTTGTGCAATCATCAGTGAACATTCCCACTTCTGACCTTATAATGAGGGAACGTCATTGATGAAGAAATGTTAGATGGGCTGGTGAGGCCTCGGACATCCCACTTGCATTGCCCCAATTAAGGCCTGGCCACAACTTTGATATTTATGGGAGGGGTTCAGGGAAAAAGGAGCAGCTTGACAGGTCACTCTGTTTGGCCTCGGGCAAACAGAGGGGCATCTCCATTAAGGTGCCCCTTTGTAAATCAGGGACCCCCATCAAGATCTCCCTCACATCCATCTGCAGACCTCTCCATCAATACTGTCATCTCTTCCTATTCCCCTGAGCCTTACCTCCTCTCCCCAAATTTTAGATTTTTAGATGTGGAATTCTTTTGTTCTTGCACAGATGTCATTTGATAAGCCTAGATTTTCTAATTGTAATATTGTTGGCATTTCAGTCAGAAAATGTAGGCCATCAACTCCATTTTAAAATAGCTGAGCCTGTAACTGAGAGCTAGCTGATGGCTTTGCTGAAATTCTGATATGTAGGACATCTGTGACAAAAGTAAACTAGAGTGCAATGCTTCTCTTACTCAAAAGAGAAATGCTGTAAGCAAGCTGACATTCCTAGGAAAAATAGTCTTTACCTTCAGCCTGTCATAGAGGGCACTGAGTGCAATATTAGCTCCCATTTTTTTGTAAGAATAGCATCATATCCCTTAATTTGAATGGCAGGAGTTCACCCAGCAAAACCAATTATTCCAACGTGCTTGAAAGTGCAGATTGTAAATTTTATTTTACTGCACAAGTAGTAACCACTTTTCATGAAGTAACCACACAAGCAGTTCAGATTGAAGGACTCTCCATGCATCAATTTTTACTTGTGATCTCATGTGAAGATGTGAAATTATCTTTGGGACTTATTTAGCATATTTTTTGTATTTAAGAGGTCTTCATAGCAATGTAGGCTCTAATATATCATGAAAACGATCAGCACAAAATGGACCATGCCATGCCATCAGACAAACCAGATCACTTTACCAATTTCACAGTCCTATTCTTTAAATGTAAAAGAACTTCAGGGAGCCATTTGCTTTTGCACCACATTATACACAGTGGAAAAAAAAAGTGTTATTCTAAAAGAAAGTCTTATTAAGCTACAAAAGGAGATATTAATACAGATAACCAGAAATTTGGTCAAAGAGGTAAGTTTTAAGGGGTACTTTGAAATGGTCAATGTACGATTGAAAGGCTGAGGTTTAGAAATGTAATTTCCGAGTTTAGTACTTGTGCAGCAGGACATATGAAGTCAAAGGTGAGGCAATTAAAACTGGCAGCACTCTCAAGGTGACAGCTAGTGATTTTAATTTTACTGAGGCATTGTTTAACTGTGAACTAGTACAAGTCAATGAACAAATGGGATATTGGTGAACAGAGTTTTGTGAGGGATTGGACACAAGAATTTTAAATGGCTTCTACACAGGGTGGAATGTGATATGCTTCAAATCTCAATAGAGTATGATGACATGCAAGGATAACTAAACATTTTCAATTGCATCACCAATATTAAAAATGACGATGTGAAAACCGTCAATTCTCTTTTGTTTAAAATGATTACAATTCCGACAATCTCTACAAAATAATTTCAAATAAATTGAAATGCAAATAAACTAAGTTCATTACTGGATAGCTTTCATTACCAAGGTAATAAACTACTAATCTTTCACTTTATAGTTCATAATACAATGTGAATTTCACTTGTTTCAACCACACATAGACTAGATTTGATTGTGTTACAGCTTGCTCCATGCAATAGCGTGACACTGAAAATCATGCAATATTGTACAACTAAGAACCAGAGTGGCATAACTGGTAACAGTTTCACCTCTAAGTCAGAAGACCATGCATTTATTCATAAATTAGGCTGTTTTTTTTTCCATACCAAAGGACTGCTTCATTATCAGAGTTCTTTAGTTTTAGCTAAGACATTAAAGTGATGTCTGTCTGTTCTAGTGAATGTTACATCCTGTAACACTATTTCAGGCAATTAAGGGAATTCTCTTGGTAACCTGGGCAACTGTTATCTCCACATTCAGCATCACCCAAGTCACTTAATTGCTAATTATGGAACCTTGCTATGTGCAAAGTAAATGCTTCAGGAAATGCTAAGGCACCACATACATGCAAGTCTTTCCATTTTGCCTTTCTTTGTTTACTGAGATCCGTCATAGCCACTATTAACATATATTAAGTAGTGAGTAACTGGGGCAAGAAAAATGTGGAGCTAAGAAATTAGGACATTTGTATTTTAAAATTAAGGAAGTTCATAATTTTAAAATCAAAAGCTATTTCATTTTTACAATTATTTTTGGTAAAAGCTTTTTTTCTAAAAAAGTATTATTTTGCAGCAAGTTTTAAAAGTTCGAGGGAAACATTCTGCTTTGTGAAATGTGATACACGGGAAACATTTGAAGTGATGCCATATGTTCAAGCGGGGCATGGAAAACATTTCATGTCATATACAAGGCATGCAGGTCATTCCCAAATGATCTTTTTCTGCATTCTAGTCACTAACCCATAGTATTCCATGTATGTCATGTTTGTTATAAAATGCCAGTAATTTTTGCATCTTCAAGTGACGAGAATGAAGAAAAATTCAGGAATTAACCATTCACTTACTTTTACGTTGGAAGGAAGAATCCTTTGTGACTTCATGCTGAGCTGTTGGATTCGTGCTATAAGCGGAAGTCTGGCTCAGGATGGTGCTGCCGTCCGTAGAATAGGGGTCTCTGTTCTCAGTTTGAGCTGTATACACTAAAACAGAAATTTGTGTGATGTATGTATGTGTGCATATGAAAATAATTTATTTGGAATTGTTCAAGTTAGCAAATGGTAGCTAAAATTGCTACGATATATACTGCTACATCAAAAGGCAATTGTTGCCTCATCTTTGGTGGCTGTGATTTGGATTTGAAAACTAAAGGATTTGATACCACAGATTTCATAAAATAAGTATCTTTCTTAAAGAAATTTACACTCTATGCAAACTATGATTGTATCGTTTAATATGCAAGTCTATATTTGATTTCAATAGCCCTTTCCAAATGACTTGAGCATGACTTTCCATAAATAAATGGAAAAATGTTTAATACTCTTGAAATCCAATTTGTCAACTTAATAGCACAACATTTTGTATTTTTTTAAAATTGCTTGTCATGGAATTTCAATGTTGCCAGCGAGGCTGGCATTTATTGCTTGTCCCTAATTGTCATTGAGAAAGTAATGGTGAGCTGCCATCTGATATTGCTACACCCACACTTCTAATAGGAAGGGCCTTCCAGGAGGTTGGATAGTGACAATGATACTGAAGGAATGGTGATGTAGTTCTAGGTCTGAACAGTCTCTGGCTTGGAATGGCACCTGCAAAAGGTGGTGTTCCAATGCATCTGCTGCCCTTGTCCCTCCAGTTGCAAGACTTTAGAAGTTTGAAAGTACTATCAAGGGAGTTTTGGGGACCCACTGCAATGCATCTTACACATGATGCACATTGGTAAATGTGGTACCAATCAAGACAGCTTTGTCCTGGATACTATCAGGGTTCTTAGATGTAATTGGAGTTGCACTCAACCAGGCAAATGCAGAGTATTCCATCGTAGTCTTGACTTGGGCCTTGTAGATGGTTTCCAGGGTTTGAGGCTTCAAGAAGCGAGTTATCTTGCACAGAATTTGCAACCTCTGAAGTATCAGCGTGGCTGATTGCTTGCTAATTGTGTGGTGCAAAAGTTACTTGCTACTTGTCAGCCAACGCCTGGACAACAAGGTGCAGGGCTGGATGAACACAGCAGGCCAAGCAGCATCATAGGAGCAGAGGTGTCCAGGTCATACTGAAGGATTCAATGTCCATGTGCAGCATCTGTTCAGCCTTATCTGCCATCATCAGCAAACTCCGCCACATCTCAGCTTATGATGGGAAGATCATTGATAAAGCAGTTGAAAATGGTTGAAACTAAGACATGACCCTGAGGAACTCTTATAGTGATGTCCTATGGCTCAGATGATTGACCTCCAACTATCTCAACCATCTTTTCCTAGGTATGACTCCAATCAGCGAACAGTATTCCCCAATGCCCATTGGCTTCAGTTTTCGGGAGCTCTGTTCTTGGTCAAATGCTGCCTTAATGTGATCATTCTAATCTTATTTCTTCATTCAAGCTCCTTTGTCGATGTTTGGACCAAGACTGCAATAAGGTTAAAACCTAAATGCCACGAGTGAAACTGAAACTGAGCATAAATCAGCAGGTTATTGATGAGTAAGCAGAGTTTCAAAACACTGTTGACAACTTCATCAGTCATTTTGCTGATAATTTAGAGTAGACTGATATGGTGGTAAGTGAGAAATTTGGAGTTGTCCTGCTTCTTGAGTTAGGACATTTCTGGGCAATTTTTCACTTGGCCAGGTAGATGATATGAGCTGAACCTGTACTGAAATAACTTGGCCAAGTGCACAGCTAACACTCTAACATGCCTTCAGTGCTGCCATGGAATGTTATGATGGCACAATGTCTTTGCAGCATCCGGTTCCTTTAGGCATGTCTTGCTATCAGAGCGAATCGAATTGTCTGAAGACTAGCATCTGCGATCTTGGGGAACTCTGGAGGAGGCCAAGATGGATCACCCACACAACACCTCTGGTTGAAGACGGTTGGAGTTATTTCCTCTTGTTAGTTGTTTAATTGGGTTCAGCACCATTCACAGCTGGATATGGCAGGACTGAAGATTTACATCTGATCCATTAGTCACTGAATTGCTTTGCTCTGCCTATCACTTACTTGTTCAGCCGTTTGGGTTGCAAATAGACCTGTTTACAGCTTCACTCGGTTGATACCTCATTTCTAGGTATGGCTGGTGCTACTCCTTACTCTACACATTGAACAGGACTGTTACTCTGACTCAATTGTAACAGTGGAGTGAGGATATGCCGGGACATAAGTTTGCAGATAGTGGTTGAGTACAATTCTGCTCCTGTCGATGGACCAAAATGTCTCTTGGCTGCCGAATTCTGACTTTCAAGATCTGCCCTAAATTTTTCTTATTTAGCATGATAGTAGTGAAACACAATGGGGTGGTATCTGAAGGTGGAATTTCAGGACTTTGTCTTCACAAGGACTCTGAAGTGGTCACTCCTACTGATGCTGTCATGGATAGATGCATCTGCGACAAGTAGATTGGTCAGGACAAGGTCAGGTTTTTCCCTCTGATTGGTTCCCTCACCACCTGTCACAAATGCAGTCTAACAGGTATGTACTTCAGAATTCAGGAAAGTTAGTCATTGGTGGTACTCTTGGTGACACTGGAGTCCCTCAATCACTGTAAGTTATGCGTCTTTGCCACCCTTAATGACCCTTCCAAGTGTCCAAGAACTTAGATTCAGCGATGAGTTATGGGGGTTGGGGATGCAATAGATCATCATCAACAGATTTCCTTTGCCACATTTGACTTGATGCTATGGAATGCAGATTTATTATTGAGGTTCCCACGGCAACTTGCCTTCAGGTATATACCCCTGTGCCTTGAACTCTATTAGGCCTATTTTACTGGTGAGACAGGACATACAGAGATGGTGGTGATATCTGGGACACGACCTCTAAGGTATGATTCATTGAGTATGTCTTTGTCAGGTTGTTGCTTAATTGATTCATAACACAGCTGTCCTAAATTTCGGACATGTCCCCAGTGGAGGGTCTTTCAGGGTTGGCCATTGTTCCAATGTGTGAGTCGATTGCAGGTGGCCGATCCAGTTTTATTCTTTGTGACTTCACAGCAGTTTGATACAACTGAGAGGCTTGCTAGGCCATTTTTACCACATTGCTTTGGGCCTGGAATCACATATTGGCCAGTTCAGATAAGGACAACTAAAAGCAGGCTAGTGAACCAGATAGCTGTTTGTGGACAACAGTTTCACAATCCTTGTATTATTATCACCATTACTAAGGGTAGTTTTTAAACTCCAGCTTTATTAATTTTAAATTCCACCATCTACCGTGGTGGGATTTGAACCCACGGCTCAAAGCATTAGCCTGAGCATTTAGATTACCAGCCCAAATTACTGCTCCACCGTCTCTCCTTGAAACTAATATGATTTTTTTTTAGGTTTAATCTAAAACTTATACTAATACTTCTGGCATTGCAATTCTTTTGACATTGCATTAGAATCTTTAAGCACACCACAATATTTTCTGAATTTTAGTGTATTCCTGTTTTTATAAATGGCTGGTCTGCTTATACAAATTAAGAATACAATATTCAGACTGTAATACAGCAGCCTGCAACTGCATGCAAAACATACACTACAATATTTACATTGATCAAACACAAAGATTATCCAATTTAATGATGAGAATGGGTGCATAAAACAAAACTGCTTACTCAACAAGTTTATAAAAGATTAGAGGTAAATAACTGAGAAATATACGAATGAATGATAATCCAGTAGCAATGAGCAGAGATGTTCTACAATGAAAGCATTTTTCTATTTTTTAATGCTTATCTGGAGAAATTAATTTCCAAAAAACAATCTTCAAGAATAATGTGATTTTGTTGTCGCAGAAACTCTCATATGGACTACATTCTAGGTGTTTGCAGGTTTTGTTTTGGGTTCGTACATCTTTTTGTGTTTTACTAATACAAATTCTTTTTATTACAACAAAGCTTCTGTAATCAATGCTTCTGGTGTGGAAAACTTTATCATATCATGAAGTTCCATCATGAATTTTGGTCATGTGTATGAAAATACCATGGAAGTAACATTACTACTGTATATTCATGCATATGTTTAGGTCAGGGCCTCAGATTACAAGGATGAAAAGCTCTTTCAAAGAGCGATCATTTTGGGATGGTTGCTTAAAAATGGAAGAGTAGAGCAACAACCAAGCTCCACATTTTTGGCCAGAATTGCAATGTTAGCCTCTTCAGGAATATGGAGCACAGTGTAAATAAGAGTCCATCTTCATTGTGCTAGATTATAAGTGGAAGCCATTCATGCCAGATTTTTGTGAACACAGTGAAAAACTACAGAATATATATAAACAGCTTTCAATGTGATGGTGAATGATTGTGACTGAGGTAAGTGGGTAATAGCATAAAGTCATAGGTTGGTGGGGGGCAAAGTGGAAAGAAGGTTGAGTTACAGGTGGATACGATGGCAAGTCAGTAGGATGACAGATAGGTGAGGTGGATGGTCAGGTTGTGAGGGCTTGTTAAATCAGGTCAGAGAATTGAAGGAGTGTGTGTAGGTAGATATGAGCCAAGTTTGTGTGGTAGTTAGGGATTGGCGGTTCAGGAGGTATTGTCCAGTCATGTTGCGTTAGATATGGGGTCAAGGGCTTGGGTTAAGTAAGGTGGAATTTGATTGCTAGGATCTAATCAAGTTGGATCAGGGGGTTGAGTCAGCAGAGTTGGGGACTCAGAAGAGAATTGGGTCGAGTGGGGGACAGTCAGGAGTTTGGTGGTTTATCCATAGGTCACGGGAGATTCAGGGAAACTCAAGAGATAGATGTGTTTTAAACTGTCTAACATTTACTTGTTAACCCATCAGGTATGTTAGTCAAAGTGTTTGAAGTCTCTGGCCCTAAGCCAGAGTTAAAAACTTTTTCAGAGGTCACAGCAGTGGGGAAATTGCTGGTCAGTAGTTCAAATATCCCGGTCAATTCCACAAGGTCAGTGCATTGTTATTTCTGAGGGGGTCAACATGCAACTCTCGTCATACAATCTTAGACAATCCAGAGATGGGAAGTTCTGGCCCATTGTTTCTCTCAAACTACAAAGCCCGTTAACTGGGTGGCTCAGTTTATTTGGCAATGGGGCAGAATAAACTGCCATAATTTCAATGGAAATTCATAGTGGCAAGTTGCTGTAAGTGGGAGATCAAAATGGTGCAGCACACTTGGAACAGCACACACTACAGGATACAAGGATTCTGTATGAACAGGGCTAGCAATGCTTTCCTTCTTCTTCCTTTCCCAGCTGTGTAACCTTTAATCCTGGAACTGATTTTCACTGTGAAAGCAAACTGGAGATTCTTCCCTTCAGTCCAAGTTAAGCAAATCTTCCATCCTCCTTTACATCTTCCTGAATTTAGTCTCTTCAGAGTCAGCATGAGCTCGCACCTACATTTTGCGTGGTGACCAACAAAGTCAGCATTTTCCCTACTTTAGAGCAGAACTTGTAGCTTCTATTTTGCCCCTCTCTGATATTCTTGCAGAGTGACTTGTGTCTGTGGGCTTCAGTGACAAAGTTTAAAAAAAATTACAACCCAATATCACAATAGCTTTCTACTGACTTTTCCTACACAAAAACCATCTCAAAAACAACATGAATCACGTGCCTCATATGCAAAAACAAATGCTATTTTAGCCATCTGCTGGTCCCCAGCTCCATTCTATATTGACATAAAACTGACAGTTTGAAATATAATCAATTACAAACCCTGTTTTCCCAACACCTCCCTGAGGAGCCTAGAAAATTCACAAACCACCTACAATGTGAGCAGCTGCCCTTGCCATTGTCTAACTGAACATCTGACACTTTCTTCCGGCAAGACACCAAGTGTCCCCCTTCCACATACAACAAACAAGCAATCCAGATTTGTCGTCAAGCAGAATATGGAGCAGGTCACATGACAACCATGATTACTTCATTTTTTTTCTTAAATTAAATTGACAGTACCAAAGCATGACAATCTTACAAACATTGCACTCCTAACAGGAGCCAGATGCCATTTTCACCAAGCTAACAGCATAGCAGAGAGCAACTTCCTGATTAACCTTAAGTGAGAATTAGGGCAGTGGAATTGACATTAACATTGGACAAGGATTGTACCTTGGCAATAAAACTATGGAGGAACTAAATTTTGTTTTGGGAAAAGGGTAGGTTAGAATTACCACATAAACTCTCATCATGAATGCATTGCAGTAAACTGAACTCAAACTCAGACTTTCTCACGTTCCCACTTGATACAAATGTAGGAAAATCAGGGATATATCTAAAAGTTAAGCAGATGGAGTTATAGAGTCATACAGTTGTACAGCTCAGAAACAGACCTTTCGGTCCAACTCATCCATGCTGACCAGATATCTTAAATTAATCTAGTCCCATGTGCCAGCATTTGGCCCAAATCCCTGTAAACCTGTCCTATTCATATACCCATCCAAATGCCTTTTAAATATTATCATTGTACCAGCTTCCACCACTTCCTCTGGCAGCTCATTCCATACATGCACAACCCTGTGTGAAGAAGTTGCCCCTCAGGTCCCTTTTAAATCTTTCCCCTCTCACCTTAAATCTATGCCTTCTAGTTTTTGACTCCCCCACTCAGGGGAAAAGACCTTGTCTATTTACTCTATCCATGCCACTCATGATTTTATAAACCTCTATAAGGTCGTCCCTCAGCTCTGACACTCTAGGGAAAATAGCCCCAGTCTATTCACCCTCTCCCTATAGCTCAAACCCTCCATACCAAACGCCTTCTTCACTATCCCATCTACATGCGACTCCACTTTTGAGGAACTACAAACCTGCACTCCAAAGTCTCTTTGTTCAGTAACACTCCCCAGGACCTTACCATTAAGTGTATTAAGTCCTGCCCTGATTTGCCTTTCCAAAATGCAGCACTTCACATTTATCTAAATTAGACTGCATCTCCCTCTCCTCAGCCCATTGGACAACCTGATCAAGACCTCATTGAACTCTGAGGTAACTTTCTTCGCTATCCACTACACCCCCAATTTTGGTGTCATCTGCAAACTTACTAGCTATACTTCCTATGTTCACGTCCAAATCATTTATATAAGTGAATTAATATAAATTATTATAAACATTTTTAAAATTTCAATGACATATTCTCTACAAATAGCACAGCAACTGTCAAAGATAATGCTCAGAGAGATCTGGAGCTATTAATAGACTTGGCACATGAATGTCAAGTCACTGTGGAACTATATTGTAAGGTTGAATATGAGACAGTGCATATAGGCCAATTTAAAAAACCAAAAAAAATCACAACTTCAAAAATGATTAGAGAACTGCCAAGAATGACAACATCTTTCAACCAATGTGAGAGAAAACATGATAAAAATGAAGAACTGTAGATGTAGAAAATCGGAAACAAAAACAAAAAGTGCGATAGAAACTCTGCAGGTCTGGCTGTATCTGTAGAGAGCAAAACAGAGTTAACGTTTTATGTTAAGTGGCCTTTCATCAGATCTGAAAATAGTTGGGAAAGGGTGGTATTTATGCTGATGATAGGGTGAATGGGGTTTGGAAATGAATCACGTATCATCACCAATGCCTTTGTTTGCCTATCCCCTTCTCTCTTTCTCTCTCTCTTTCTCTCTGGGTACTGGCCCATGTATGCTATTCACTTCCTCATTGCCACCAAGCCAGTCATCAGCACAAAAAATCCACCCTTAC